GCAGTGGCTCATTGTGATCTATTTCTCCCACATCTGCTTTAGAAGAAGTCATGCAAGTTTTAGGAAACAATTTTAATGAACCAATGATTTATGTGGGTGAGCATTTTTATTGCAGTTATTCTATTTCTTTTCTACCAATTTATATTTGGATGTATTGAATGGGGTTTCCGGGAGACATGAGAAAGATAACAGTGCTTTTCAGGTTACCAGGCTGTTGTGGGCTCTCTTCTGGCTCACATTGAAAGGGTTGTGCATCATCCTGCGAAATCCAAATTTGAATAGGATGCAGCAACTGGACAAGACATTTGACTGTACCTCTTGGAGAAAAGGTGTTTTCTCTATATAGGAAGGATACATGGATATCTGAACAGCCAGAATAACAGTCTGTCAGAAACTGTAGATTTTCCCTGAAGGATAACATTCATTGATTTTTAGTTGGGTAAAATAAATCAGGCTAGAGAGAGAAAACATTCTCAAACAGGCCTTCAAAATAGGCTTTATCTCACAACTAATAGCCAATGACTGAGTCAAAACAATTTTGAACATTTTGAGTAACACATTTAAAAGAAAACTGATTGCCTTTCACTAGATTCCCCTTTCAGGCTGCCAATCCAGTAACAAAATCTCAGAAAAGCACCTAGGAAACATGTTGAATCCACCTGTTGAAAGTAGCAGAACTGCTTTACCAGTGTGGTTCACTGCATGATTTAACGGAGAAGGTGCTACATTTTGCCTTAGACTTCTATATGAGATAACTATATATTTTGACCTTGGTTCAACTACTGAAATTTTAGTTCTTTGGGTTTTACCTGATTTTCTAAGTGTATAACTTAAATACTACCTCTTTCATGGAATTACCTGGGCATTACTAGTATTGTACTTGAACTATGCTGAAATTTCAGATGTATAACGATTTAAATTCAAAATACTGGAATATAAAAAATTGACCAGGGTGAAATGACATAAGACATTACAGCTGGAAAAAGTTACTCTGCATTTTTACTCTTATTTTATTTTTTATAGATGTGTGTATTTTATAGTACCGAGGATTAAACTTAGTAGTGCATTAGCAATAGGCTATATCTCCAGCCTTTTTTATTTTGAAACAGTGTCTTGCTAAATTGCTAAGATTGGCCTTAAACTTGCAATCCTCCTACCTCAAAAGAAGGTGGGAAAATAGGCATGTGCTTTTGAGTCCAGATTATTATGAATTTCTTAATTGCATTGTTCTGTGTCCCATCTTTGTTTCATGAATTAATCACAATAATTTCACATAAGTAATTTTGCTTCTTCTTCTATACATCTTATAGTTGCATTTTCTATTTTCTAATATATATAAGAGTTGTTAAAGCTCTATTCTTCCCAATGCCAAAATACTTATGTACATATTTATCTCAAAACCTGGGTTCTGTAATATGGGCTTAATACTTATTATTAAATAATATTGAACTTAAAATTAAAATAATTGCTACTTTATTTACATCCTGAGTTTAATTTGTAGTTCCCTCTCTAATACAGATATATGTGTACTTACCCTTGTATATTGACATGAACAATATGGGTATAATTACTTTCCTTTTTTTTTAAAAAAATGGTCTTCTTGAGTTTAATATACATCGATTATCCCCTTTTTTCATATTAAGAAATTTTCTCTTAGCAGAGTTTTTATGATACCAAGAATTGTAATTATTTTCTCAGCTTATTTAAGTACTTTTATTGATAATAATTTTTCATCCTTCCAAATGAAGAAAAATTGAAAGCATTCCCTCTAAAAACAGGAAAAAGACTAGGATGCCCACTTTCACCAGTTCTATTCAACAAGGTCATGGAAACTGTAGCCAGAGGAATTACACAAAAAATGAAATGAAATGAATATAAATAGAAAAAGAAGAACTAAAACTAGCTCTGTTTGCTGATGACATGATTCTATATTTAGAAGATCCAAAGAAACTCCACCAGAAAACTTGTAGAACTCATAAATGAATTCAGCAAAGTAGCAGGATACAAAATTAACACCCATAAATCAATTGAGTTTCTATACACCAATGGTGAATGAGCTGAAAGAAAAATTAGGAAAACTATCCAACTCACAAAAGCCTCAAAAAACAAAATACTTGGGAAACAATCTAACAAAAGTGGTGAAGGTGGCTCAGCAGTAAAGTGTGCACCTAGCCCGTGCCAGGCCCTGGGTTCAATCCTCAGCACCACATAAAATAAATAAAATAAAGATATTGTGTCCAACTACAACTAAAAAATAAATATTAAAAAAAACTTAGAAAAAAAGTGGTGAAAGACCTCTGTGATTAAATAACAGAAAACTAAAGAAAAAACTGAAGAAGTCCTAAGAAGGTCAAAAGATGTCCCATTTTTTTTTGATAAGTAGAATTAATATTGTCAAAATGGCCATGCTACCAAAAACACTACACAGATTTAATGCAATTACTATTAAAATTTCAATGATTTATATGAACTTTATTTGGAAAAATAAGAGGCCCAGAATAGTCAAAGCAATCCTTAATGAGAAAAGAAAAACATCACAGCACCAAACCTTAAATTATGTTACAGAGCTATAATAACATAAACATCATGGTACTGCACCAAAACAAGTATGAAGATTAATGGAATAGAATATAAAAAAAAAAACCAGAAACCCACATAAATATAGTTTTCTCATATTAGACAAAGGTGCCAGAAACACACATTGGAAAAAAAAAAAGATAATCTCTTCAACAAAGGGGGCCAGAGAAACTGAAAATCCATGCTTTTAGACCAGAAACTGAGCACCTACTAGAAGAAAATGTAGGCCCAACTTCACCACGTGGGCTTGGGAAGCAACTTCCTCAACAAGTGCAAAAAGTAACACCAAAAATTAATAAATGGGATAGTATCAAACAAAAAACTTTCTTCACAGCAATGGAAACACTCAGGAGCATGAACACAGAGACTACAGAATGCTATAAAATCTTTGCCACCTGCCCCTTAAATACAGTATTAATTTCTAAGATATTCAACAAACTCAAAAAGCTTAACACCAAAAAAATAAAATAAAATAAAACCACCACCACCACCACCAACAACAAAAACAAATAATCCAATCAATAAATATTAAATAGACACTCCTCAAAAGAAGAAATATGAGTGGCTAACAAATTCATGAAAAAATGTTTAATATCTATACCAAATTAGAAAAATGCAAATTAGTACTACTCTCAGTGTACTGAGATTTCACCTCACTCCAATCAGAATGGCAATTAACAAGAATAAAAGTAAAAATAAATGTTGGCAAGAATGTGGGGAAAAGGGTATACTCATATATTTTGGTGGGACCACAAATTGGTGCAACCACTGTGGAAAGCAGTATGGAGATTCCTCAAAAACCTGGAATGGAATCACCAATCGACCCACTTATTCCACTCCTCAGTATATATCTAAAGGAGTTAAAATAAAAATACTATAGTGATGTAGCCACATCAATCTTTATAGCAGCACAATTCACAATAGCTAAACTATGGAAGCAACCCATCAACAGATAAATGGATAAAGAAATTGTGGTTTACATACACTCAGCCATAAATAAGAATGACGTTATGACATTTGTCTGTAAATGGATGGATCTGGAGACCATTATGGTAAGTGAAATAAGCCAATCCCCAAAATACAAAGGTTGGATGCTCTCTCTGATATGTGGATGCTAACTCCCAACAAAGCGGGCAGAACAGAAGTTCAATGGATTAAACAAAAGACAATTAAGGGAAGAGAAGGGATAAGAATAGGAGACAAAATGAAATGCATGTGACATACCTTTCCTATAACATATATGAACACAACACTGTGAATCTCACCATCATGTACATTCACAACACTGGGATCCTAAGTAGAATAAGATATATCCCATGTTTGTATAAACATATCAAACTAGATTCAGCTGTTAAGTATTACTAAAAAGAACAAATAAAAATTTAAAATAAAATTTTAAAAGAAACAAAGGGAAAAGATTGGACTACTGGTATGATGCTGACATTCTAATTTTGTTGACTGATTATATATAAAGATATACATCCCATAAAAATTTTAGCTGGGGCCTTGTATTTCTCAACAGTCACCCTGAATAAAATATATAATTTAAGAGATTTAAAATGTGATAACTTTGTATGTGGTATTGTATATATTGCGGTTTTTCACTTAATATATCATAAAACAATTTCCACATCTTCACATTGTTCTACCACATAATTTTTAATATCTGCAAAAGTCTGAAGGGGCATTTTGTGATTTTTTTTAACCAATCTTTATTTAGATACTTGAATTTCCCTCTGTGTTTTGCTATTATAAATAGTGCTATGATAGATAAATCTACTACAGATAGATTTATAGTTTAATTTTATTAACTTAGGATAAAACTTAGAAAATGGAATTTCTAGGTAAGTATTATTTTTAAGAATAAAGTTTGTTTTCTTGGTGGGTACCAGGCATTGAAGCTAGGTACCTTTAACCACCAAGTCATATCCCTAGAGCTTCTTTTTTTTATTATTATTTTATTGAGAGGGTCTCACTGAATTGCTTAGGGCCTTGCTAAGTTGCTGAGGCTAGCTTTAAATTCATGATCCTTCTCCTCAGCTTCCCAACCTTCTGGGATTACAGGTGGGTGCTACCACAACATGCAAAAATAAAGTTTGTACTGATACAAAAAAAAAAAAAAGTAGTCATTCAGCATATTCAACTCACTTTAATGGGCAACTTAAGAATATATCCTCCCTATAAGGCACAGCAGTGAAGTCCAATGGTTCAAAGGAGATCTTGAAGAGGATAGGCAAAGGCATGACACAGCTAAAGTGAACAAGTGCTTTCACTGATGTAAGGAGAAGTGCATAACACACTGCCTGCCCATTTCCTGGGTCTTGATATCTGGTAGTTTTTAACCAAAGTCAAGCTGAGATGTTAGAGCTCTGAGTTAACCTAAAGGCTGAGGACAGAGAACAGGAGGAGGGGACTCTTGTCAGTTACACATTGCTGAGGGCCTCTACTCCTGGGAGGCTTTTACTTTCCAGGAGCTCCAGACTGGCACCCCCTCCAGTGCTCACATGGCTGACTTTGTCTTCAGTGTTCCATTTGGCACAGCAAGTAGCAGTGTCCCCGTCCCCTATAATGGTGACACTACCCTGGGAGGTGGCTTTCACGATTTCATCCATGAGGGCCTTGGTTCCCTTGGCAAAGGCTTCCCATTCAAAGACTCCCAAAGGACCATTCCAAATGATGAGCTTGGCTTCAGACACAACTTGAGCATTCTTTTTAATGCTCTCAGGGCCACAGTCCAAACCCATCCAGCCGTTGGGGATGCCAGATTCTACAGTGGCACTTCCAGTGTTGGCATGCTCATCGAACTTGTCAGCCGTGATAAAGTCCACGGGAAAGGTAATCTTCACACCATTCTTTTCTGCTTTGGCCATGATCTCCTTGACAATCTTGGCTCCCTCTTCGTCGAAGAGGGAGGCACCAATCTCCATGTTGTGCAGTACCTTCAGGAAGGTAAAAGCCATCCCGCCCCCGATGATCATCTGGTTGACCTTGTCCAGCATATTTTTGATGAGCTGGATCTTGTCTGCCACTTTGGCTCCACCCAGGATAGCCAGAAAGGGTCTCTCTGGGTTTTCCAAGGCTTTGGCAAAGTACTCCAGCTCCTTCTTCATGAGGAACCCGGCTGCCTTCTGGGGTAGATTCACTCCCACCATGGAGCTGTGAGCCCTGTGTGCAGTGCCAAAAGCATCATTGACATAGATGTCCCCTAGCTTGGACAGTGACTGGCGAAAGGCTTCCACCTTCTCGGGCTCTGCCTTCACCTTGTTCCCAGAGGCATCCTGGCCCTTGCCTTCCTCCTCCAGGTGAAAGCGCAGGTTCTCCAGCAGGATCACTGAGCTGGCTTCGGGGCTGGCGCAGGCCTTCTCCACTTCTGGGCCCACACAGTCCTTGAGGAATGTCACATCCCTGCCCAGCAAGGATTTCAGCTCGCCAGCGACAGGCTCCAGGGAGTACTTCTTGGGCATGGGGACGCCATCCGGCCGGCCCAGGTGGCTCATCAGCACCACGGACTGGGCTCCATTGTCCAGGCAGAACTTGATGCTGGGGATGGCGGCCTTGATTCTCTGGTTGTTGGTAATCTGGTTCTTCTTTATGGGAACGTTGAAGTCCACTCTCATGATGACGCGCTTGCCTTTGACATCCAGTTTGTCCAAAGTCAGCTTCTTAGAAAGGGACATCTTGGCAGCAGGAAGGGCTAGTGGACACCTGGATGTGGGTGCTGAAGGATGGTCTTAGGTTGGCGGCTGGGAGGCTTGTTGGTGGGGCTGCCTAACGCCTCCCCTCTGCCCGCCCCTTCCTGGGTCCGGAGTCTCCCACGTGGCAGCTGTGGGCACGGGGAAGGCAATGCGACCTGCCCATTGGTCCAGAGTCCTGCCAATCTGCGTTTGGAATGTGTTGCTAGTTGCCCCTTAGAAATGATTGGAAAAGGTAGTGAAGATGTAGTAGAGGTGTAGTCCCAGTTGGGGAAGTGAAGAAAATCACGTAAGAATGGTCTAGAAGACTTAAGGTCTTTTCAAATTCCCTTTGACAATTGCTCTTGTTCTTAAAGAAACAGAATGAACTAAATAATAACTAATAATAAACAGAATGAACTAAACAATACTTCCCCCCCCCCAAAGCCTTCGTTACCCTGCTACTTGTTAAACCTAAATTACATTCATGTGTAAACCTCTCTACAGTGGCTAATAAAGGGAAAATATGAAATAAGGAGTAAATGAAATCTTCTTTATTTAAGACAACAGAGTATGGTTGTGTTTTTTCCTTGTCTTGCTTTGTATTTCTGTAAAGGGCATACCTTGGTTTTAGATTTGAGTTTAGACACAATCTAGAGTGAGATGGAAATCATGTTATTTTTCATTACCTTGGTTATTTCTAATTTCAGACTAATGTGCTAATGGGCTCGGTAAGAAGAATTCCAGAGTATCATAGCAACAACAGCAAAAATCTTTGAAAGTAATGGCAACATTTCATAGGCCACAAAATTTTGATGGAGGTCTGGACCTCTTTTCTGCTCCCTTTTTGCTGCAGGAGCTATATAACACAAATTGAGCTGAAAGAGTCATGCCTTTCTTGATAATGAAAACTTTCATTAGAAATGAAAATGAGTGAGAAGTTTACCTCCAGAAGAAAATGTATTTTGGTGATTCATTTACTAATGAAAACTGTCTTCACTATTTTTCATTTGATATTTTCTTTTTTTAATTTATTTTTTAATACATGACAATAGTGGAATGCATTACACTCATTATTACCCATATACAGCACAATTTTTTCGTAACTCTGTATACAAAGTATGTTCATGCCAAATTTTGCCATTGTACATGTACTCTATTTTTTTGCATTAGAATTCTTAATACACATATATACCACAATTTTTCATATCTCTGTATATAAGGTATGCTGACACCAAATTCAAATCTTCATACATGTATTTTGTATAATGATGACTATCACATTCTCCCATCCTTGCTATTCTCCTTCCCATCTCCCTTTCTCTCTCACCCATCTTCCCTATCTAGAAATAATCTTCCTCCCATGCTCTCCAATTTGATATTTTCTATAAGTTAAATAATTTAGGTGATTTAAATGTATCTCTTGGAGGTTTTGAAAGGTACATATTCAATGTGCTACCACCAGACTTAAATTTAAAACCATAAACCAAAAAGCGAACAAACAAAAAAATGAGAAAACAAGTGTTGATAACAATGTGGGCAAACTGAAATTCTCATATATTGCTGGTAAGAATAAGAAGTAATGCAGGCAGTTTAGAAAACATTTTGGTATTCCCTCAAAATATTAAACAAGAAAATAGTATATGACCCAGCAATTTTAATACTAAGCATTTACTGTACTGATGGTGCTGCACTCATTATTAAAAGGATAAAATTTTAAAATCTAAGAAAAATAATAACTATTAAACACTCCTTAACATTCTTTTTAAATTCTCCTGATGTTTTTTCTTGTTGCTATTGTGGATGAAATATGCTATAGTCACACTAGGCAATATTTTGGGAATTTCTAGTAAACTTAGGTCTACTATAGGAATCATCTATATAATTACTAGATATTTATTCAAGTACATCAAAACCTATATTCTTTCAAAATTCTGAACAAGAATGCAATCAGGATGGATTAATAGGAGTGGCAGTTTGAAGAGTACATCTTTAAAAACTTTAGGAGTCAAATGCTTGGCAAGCTTGGAATTATGGTGTCAAAGCTCAGCAAAAATGGCCTCTATATAAGGATACAGAAAAGATTTTAAAATAATAATAGATGGAAAGAGAAATTGTACCAAAATCATGAAAAGTGTTTCCTAGGAGTAAGTTTCATTTTTTTTTCTCTTACTTTGCCAATTTGAGCCAACATTGAGAAAATGCTAACCAAACACAAACACACTTACATCTGGAAGCTTCTAGCTTTTCTCAATTAAAAAGGATGTCACCAACCAGAAAGAAGAGATGTTAGATTGGTTGAGTAGTTTCACTGGAGATAGAAAATATCTGTCTGTTGGAAAAGAGAATAGGGGGTATGGGGCTATCAACTATAAAGAAAGGACTTATTATGTCTTTATTTTTCACCCAACACACCAAAAAAAAAAAAAAAAAAAAAAAAAGTAAAGCTAACATATATTCTTGCCTGATCTCTGCAGACATAACTAGTCAGCAAACATATTGATTGAAAAAAAAAAAGTATCTGAGGAGCTCCAGCAGAATGTGAAAATATCAAAAAATAGGACACCATATTCTAAAGGAAGCAGAACTATTTTAAAGTAACAAACAAAATTCCTTAGAGAAATAAACAAACTACAAATCTGAATGATCATCAAGGATTTGTGAATTAACAATTGGAAAATATTAAAACTGTTTTAAATGGTAAAATAAATAAAATGAATGAACTTCAGAAAAAAAGCACATATAAAAGTAGCTAAAGAATGAATTAATGAATGGAAATATTCCTAAAGAAACTCCTTCAGAATCACTGATAAGTGACAAAGAGAGAAAATGAGAATACAGTCAGGCTGTATGGAAATTAAAAAGAAGTTGCCTATATTTGTCATACAAAGATGATTAGAGTGAAAATATAAATGAAAGAGATAAAATATGTGAGAAAACTTTGAATACCTTTCATAAATGACAGCCGATTTATAAAAATGTCTGTATAACATAATATAGAACGGTCAAATTTAAAACAAACACATATATGCCAAGAAAATTGATAGTGAACTTGAACATTAAAAACAAAAAAAAAAAAAAAAAAAAAAGGGGAGGGGTGGCTGGGGATGTGGCTCAGGCGGTAGCGCGCTCACCTGGCATGCATGCGGCCCGGGTTCCATCCTTAGCACCACATACAAACAAAGATGTTGTGTCTGCCGATAACTAAAAAAATAAATATTAAAAAATTCAAAAAATAAAAAATAAAAAAAATAAAACCAAAAAAATTAAATGTTTTTCATAAAGAGAAATCATACCCTTTCCAAAAGAAAAGATTAAGAAATAAGTCTGATTTTCCAAAATAAACCTGGCAAGTAAAATAAAATGGAGAAATATCTTAAAAACATTAAAGAAAAATTACTTTTTCAACAAAAATTTTATCCAGTGATGGCTTGCAATTAAAATGAGAAGATGAAATAAAAATATTTGTGTTCACAGAAATGTCAGAACATTTACGTGACACAGGCTATCTTGAATAACAAACTCTAGGTAGAAATACTTGGACAAATTGAAATTTAGAAACAGATCACTGAGTTATGTAAACCAAGAACTGAAATCTAAGCATATACCAATGTATAGGGAAGCACTGAAGACTGTGTTTAGTTTTTATTGCAATTGTAAATAGTAATTTTTATAATATTTTATAGTAATGAATGCCTGGATATTCAAATTACTTATTTTGACAGCCTTACTTTTTATTTGGCATAAAACTTTCTAATAGAATTTGTATAAAAATGATATAAACTAACCAATGAGTTTATACAAAACTCTCAATAGGAAAAATATACAAATGACTTGCATGATCATTTTTTCCTGCAAATAATCATGCTATTTTTTCTTTCTTTCTTTCTTTCTTCCTTCCTTCCTTCCTTCCTTTCTTTCTTTTTTACTTTTTAACCTTAATTCTCCTCTCCTCTCCTTTTTAAACTGCTTGGAAAGTATTTCTAGAAACACTTTTTAACACTTAAACTAATATCACAAATATTTTAATTTTTACATTATATGTAATATTGTTGAAATTTTGCATTCTTTTTCAATTTATTTATAGGATTTATTTACCACAATTAATTTAATTCAATTCTTAATATATTACAAAATATTGAGGAATTATGCAAACTAGAATTCATTGGCTATTATGGAAAACATTTGGGAATTTTTGGATTATGGAATCTTGGTAATTGAAAAAGCAGAATAAGCAGGAAAGCAACTTTCATCCCCTGCCTTTGTTCTCTGAAGTAGGAAGACCTCATGTGTGGGATGTCCACTGTATATGTACAGGAGAAAGAATGCCCTGATCTCGAAAGAAAGCAGGAACACAAAGAATCCAAACACGGATGGCAATAAGTTCTCCCCAATTTATTATCCATAGATCCTGCCTTCTGCCCAATACTTCTGTAGGACTGTACCCTTGTCATCAAACCTCAGCATAAAAACACAAGGTTTCTTGTTCTTTGGTTCTTCACTTCTGAAGGCTCCCATATCAAATGTCTTACTTTTAAAATAAATGTATACTGTTGCCTCTTGTTAACCTGACTTTTGTTATAGGTGTTTTCCTCAGAACTTTTGTGATGGGTGAGGAAAAGATACTACCCTCTCTCTCTTTTAAAGAGTCTAAAAGAAAATCTGGGGGTTGGGGGATTAGTCCAAACACCATGTTCATAGGAAGAATCACTTACAATTAAAACAAAAATTTTCTCCCCAAGTAATCTGCAAGTGTAATCTAATAGCAACTGAAATCCAATAAGATGGAATTTTTAGAAGGTGGAAGGTATCAATTTAAAAATTATTTTTTTAATAGCGGAGTTTTTCAAAATGAAAATAAAATAAGTGCCATTTACCCATCAGATATAAAGACAAACGCCAGGCCTAATTAATAAAATTATTGAGGCATAGACAAGGGACAAACTGAACAGACCAGAGGGGCAGAAAAAAATGTTATGAACGATACAAGTGTATTTAATGACTTG